AAAAAGAAGTTAATTAAACGCGATAAAATCCGTAAAAGTAGTTTTATTCAATGGGTATAACAGTTCGTAGAACTCACGATTTAAGCGTTCACTCTAAATTACCCGCTGACACCAATTGTTCAGATTTCCAAGGTCCGAAGGCGAGCACACAGAATGAAACACACAACTGCTTCAATTACGGTAACTTTATTCACAAGGAATCTCAACACAACCAAAAATAAAAATAAAAAAACATATACATGGTTTTCTTAGCAACGAAACCCTAGTGCGATCTATTTCGATCCCAACGCCATCTATGGAAGCGTCAAGTAAAGTTTACACATACAAAATATTAAACATACCGCCCACCAAGGACATATTGCATAATGTCCTTCTCTTAATCTAAACCGCCCACCATGCAACATCATGTCTAGTGATATGGGGAGCGCTGATACAAAATTTTGATATAATAATACAAAGTATACAAATGACAAAACAAAAAAAAAAAACATTTCGTTATGCTTACAAACTAGATACATCCTATAACATCATCCTAAACAATACATATTATTAAATTATACCTTAGAAGCACTAAATTTATGATGCTACAGGAAGAATAGCTAATTTGGTAACAGGTCTCTTTATGAGGGAATTTTTAGTTTCAACAGTAACGACTCGAGTGATTCCGTCAGGGCCAGGATGTTTTAACTCAATCTTCCCAAGTAACCACTTACCAGGAGGTAAATCATCCTCTTTTACTAGAACTATGCAACCTATGGCCGGCTCTGGATTTTGGTGAGCCCACTTATGTCGTTGTAAAAATTGATTTAAATAATCTTGTGACCACCGCCGCCAATAGTCCTGTACCATTCTTTGGGTAAGTTGCCACCGTCTGAGACTAGAAATGTTAGCCTTTTCGTAATTTGAATCAGGTACAAGAACGAGTGGTTCCCCAACCAGAAAATGACCCGGAGTTAATACCGTTAACTCATTTTGGTCAACACAAGAAAGCGGTCTCGAGTTGAGGCACGCCTCAATCTGTGCCAACACCGTCGTTAGTTCCTCGAACGTTAATGTAGAGTTCCCTATAACCCTTCTGAGATGGTATTTGGTAGACTTTATTCCTGCCTCCCATAGACCTCCAAAGTTTGGAGCGTGGGGAGGAATAAAGTTCCACTTTGTGCCATTATTTGCCAAACACTCAACCAGTTCGGGAATGAATTTAGATTTTTCTTCATTAAATAATGCAGCTCTCGCGCAGCGCCAACAAAATTTGTGCCGTTGTCACTATGTAGTTCGGCACAATGTCCACGCCTTGCAACGAATCTCTTAAAAGCGGCTAAGAAACCCTTGGAAGTCATGTCACTGACTGCTTCGATATGAATCGCCCGCGTAGATAGACAGACGAAGAGTGCGACATACCCCTTGTACGACTTATTACCGCGTCCTTTAGACACTCTGATGTTTATCGGGCCAGCGTAATCGACGCCACTGTACAGAAAAACTTTATTTGGTGTAACACGAGCAGATGGTAGCTGTCCCATTAGTTGGCTTCTGGCTTTATTTGTATATCTTATACAAGTAACGCATTTTCTAAAATAGGCCCTTACTAAAGTTTTAATCCCTACAACCCAATATCGAGATCTCAAGTAAGCGATCATAGCTTGAGGCCCCCCATGCATCGTTTTAAGATGAGCCTCGCTTAAGAGAAGCTTAGCGAGGAAGGAATCTTTAGGTACAAGTATAGGATGTTTGCAATCATAACTCAAATGAGACATCTCTAATCTACCTCCTACTCTAATTATCCCCTTTGAGTCTAAAAATAAATTTAACGATTTGTACTTTCTTCCCTTTTTACCTAACGATCCCGTCTTCTTAAGTTGTTGTATTTCTTCTTGTAACTCTTCTTCTTGACCCTTTCTAATGCATACCTCCATTGCCTCCTCGAGTTCCTTCGTCGACAACTGTTTATTTCTTTCCTTGTTGGCACATTTGATTCTTAAGTGCAAGAACCTTCTACAGTAAGCTACTACCCTGATCATCCTTGAAAGCGATGAAAACCTCTCCCAAAACGAAATGTCAAGGACACCTGAATGGACCTTTACTTCCTCCAATTTAGTAATCAAGTGTTTAGGTTTTTATATTCTATCACTGATTGCCTTAAAAACTCGGGTCCATTGAACCATATCGCAGTATTGCAGAGTTCTCCGGGAGCCACGCCGCGAGAGGCACAATCCGCGGGATTGTGTTTAGATGGCACATATGACCAATAATGGGTATCCAATGTATTTAAGATTTCTGCAACGCGATTGGCCACAAACGTTTTCCAACGGCTAGGATGGCTATTAAGCCATGCGAGAACAACTTCGGAATCCGTCCAAGCGTGCACATCTAATACATTTATATCTAGAGTTTTCGCAACGTCCACCATCAACTTAGCTAATAGAACGGCTCCACATAGTTCTAACCTAGGTATTGACACCTGTTTGATCGGAGAAACTTTGGTTTTAGAGGTAACCAACGCCACTTGAATGTTGCCCTCTGCATCTATAACTCTGACGTATACCACTGCAGCGTACGCCATTTTTGAGGCATCTGAAAACCCATGTAGTTCCGTCTTTACATTGCTGGATTTAGTGTTAACCCAACGTGGGATTTTAACATTCACTAAAGAAGCTAAGTCTTTGCGGTAAGTATTCCATTCCTTTAATAAACTACTGGGCGCTTCTTCATCCCAACCTATACCTGCTAACCATAGCTTTTGTATCAAAATTTTAGCTAAAATGATAGTAGGTGACAACCACCCTAACGGGTCGAAAAGCCTAGAAATATCCGATATAATTTTCCTTTTACTTACAGGTTCCGTCGGGTGAGGCAGTTCTACAGAGTACTGGAAAACGTCAGCGCAAGGATCCCAGGTAAGTCCGAGTATTTTAGTAATATTATCTATTTTTATTTTTACTTCTTCAGCCTTATCCCTTTTGCTTACTCTTATCTTGCTTAGTAATACTTCGCTGTTACTTATCCATTTTTGCAATTGAAATCCCCCTTTAGCTAGAATATTTTTTATTTCTGTATGAATTTTATATCCTTCGTCTACACTTTCTGCCCCCGTCATTAAATCATCCATGTAGAAATCGTTAAGAATAATTTTTGTTGCTAATGGATGATCCTTCCCTTCATCATAAGCAACCTGATGTAAAGAACGCACTGCTAGAAATGGCGCCGATGAAGTACCAAATGTAACCGTCACTAATTCAAATTCTTCAATTTCCTTTTCAGGACTATCCCTCCAAAGAACCCTCTGAAACATTGTATCATCTCTATTGACAAGAACTTGTCTATACATTTTAATTATATCAGCACCTATACAAATTGGATGTGTTCTCCAACGCATAACCGTATGTCGTAATTCTGCTTGCAATTTCGGCCCAACCATCAAGTTATCGTTTAACGATACCCCATTTATTCCTTTACAGGAAGCGTCAAATACCACGCGCACCTTAGTTGTCTGCTTATCTTCCCGGAGTACTGCGTGATGAGGTAAGTACAACCCTTTATTCTTTTCTTCTGGAGATACCTTTACCATATGGGTAAGATCAATATACTCCTGCATCACCGCAGTGTAATCTGCCTTTAATTTATGATTCCTTGAAAGTTTAAATTCTAAACTCTTTAACCTTTTTTCAGATATGAACCTAGATTCACCATCCTTACAACTTTGGTTACTACCCCGGAACGGCAGCCTTACAATGTAACGTCCAGTTTTGTCTCGCCTTGTGGTATTTGTATAAATATTCTCACATTCCTCTTCCTCTTTACTAAGTATTTTTTCAGTTCCCGATGGTTCCGCTTCTATCTCCCAGAACTTACGTAAGAAGTCATCAGCTTGAACATTGGAATGCATGACAGTGATACAAGGATATGAATTAATAAAGGACGAACCTTCTGTACCGACAACACCCGAAAGAATCCATCCTAATTCTGTTTCTTGTGCTACAAGCGATCCACTAGTACTCCTTTGGATTCCATTTTGAAGAATTTGGCTGAATATCTAAGCACCTAATAAAACGTCAATTTTATTAGGCCTGTGATACTCAGGGTCTGCTAAAACGTCTTCATTCAATTTTACCCATTCTACCCGAGTCGCTGTTACAACTGGGAGAAGGGATGTGATAGACTTCAAAACATAAGCATTAACTTGAACGTTGTAATCTGGATTCACTCGAGAACGTATATCAACAACTACGGAAGAATTAGACATAACTGTTTTATTACCGCCTACACCTGTAACCCGGTGTTTAGTTAAAATTTTCTTTAACCCTAAATATTGAGCCATTGATTCCGTGATAAAAGATCCTTGTGACCCTTGATCTACTAATGCGCGAACTAAACGATATGTTCCATCCTTTGACCTGGCCTTTACTAAAGCCGTAGGTATTAAAACCGTTTCCTTACAATTTCCTGTCGAAAGGCATGAAACTATTGGCTTAGTAGATCCCTCCGCTTGTACAGCGGTCTTTTGAGTTTCCTCCATTGAGGTAATATTCCTAGTAGCAGCTGGCACTGTTTCCATATGAACAACGCCCGTGCCCTCACCAACAGACCCAGAACCACCGCTAGGGTGCAATAAAGTATGGTGGCGTCTTTTACATAAATGGCATCTGACGGTGTTTCTACAAATTCTGGCAGAGTGGTTACTACCCAAACAAATGAAACATAGCCCATTTTTCTGTGCGAAATCACGTCGAGTATCGTTATGTTCTTTAGCAAAACCTTTACACGCAGTTACCTTATGAGCGGCAGAATAAAAAGGGCAAGATAACTCAGCTTTTCCTTTCCCTACTACATGAAACGATTGCGAACTCCTTTGAACATGAGGTTTATTTTCTACACTTTCTAAGCCACGAAAACGGCTAGTTAAAAAGGCAGTAAATTGAGTAAAAGTAGGCAAATCATCCGTGGAATCTGAAGCCACCTTTAATTCCCAGGCTTTCCTGGTGTCCTTATCCAACTTGGCACTAACAATATCTAAGTATTATTAGGATGTCCCAAGAAGTTACATCTATCCCTAAATTTTTTATTGAATCTAAGCAATCAGATGTAGTGCTAAGTAATCTTTTTATTTCAGTAGCTGATTCTACAGTTAAACTCTTTTGATTAAACAAACGTTTTAAAATTCCCTTTGCTAAAAATCTTTTATTGTTGTACATTGACTCTAATTTTTCCCAACTAGCCGTATAATTATCCGATGTTACATTAATGTTTCTTAATAGTTGTTCTGCATCTCCAGTTAAGTACCCTTTAAGGTAATATAATTTCTGTGCACCGTCTAGAGTTTTATTATTATGTATTAACCCTAAATATAAATCCCTAAACGTCTGCCACTCACTATAATTTCCAGAGAACACAGGTATCTTAACCTCAGGTAACTTAAAGTTTCTAAATTCTGTACTACAGCTAGATCCTTGACTAACATTACACGTTTCACTAGACATTTTAACATTATTTAATATTTCTTTCAACTCGCTTTTAAACTGTATATAAAACTCTTCCACCTCATCATATAAGCCATTCTTATGATAATTTGAATTAAATAAATCAGACTTTTTTACCTCGCTAATTAATTTTACATGTGTTTTGTAGAATAATTGCCATTGCTGTTCTAAGTTTTCAATCCTAGTTTCTATATAACAAACAGTTAGACGTTCTTTAGGACATTTTTTAAAGTTAGATTTTGACTTGAGCATTTTAGCATTAATGTCTTCCTGAATGTCAATAAGGGACTCCATTTTAAGAAAAAAAAAAACACAAGTAGGTTATGTCACAAATAAAATACACAAATTTCTATATAAATAAACTTATTGTCCACTAAACACTTTCAAAAAAAAAAAACTTTAAACAATCTAAATTTACTTGAAGCACTCCGATATTTTTCTAAGTCCTTTTGTAACGATTGAAATTTTACAAGTGTTTTAAACTTGTATTTCTGAGTAAAATCGGGCATGGATTCCCCGTCTATACCACTTTTTGCTTAAAATAAATACAAGTTCAAACTAATATTACCAACGACTAAGTTAATTATCTAGTGAATTTAAGGTTTAAATTTCAATGTACTTTCTTGAATTGTTGAAGTTAAATTCTTCCTATTAATAAGGTCGAAAATGTACTCACAATTGCTTCACTGTACTCTCACCGACACTGATCAGCACTCGACGTCTCACGCTGCACTTGTGGCGCCCTCTTGTAGCCGCTCCGCGAACTCTTCTGCCTGGCTCCTCCACGCAACGTCACTTCCTCCGGCATCCAGCCGGATCCTCTGCTTCGATGACGTCACCGCTGACGCCTCGCTGTAGGGATGCTCTGGACAGCAATCCACTGCCCAGTACTAACGTTGCGGGGTGATAATCACCACCACCACCGATGACTCCCAAAAACACCTTCACGCCAATCCGATTCGAAGGACCATGTTCAGATTTCCAAGGTCCGAAGGCGAGCACACAGAATGAAACACACAACTGCTTCAATTACGGTAACTTTATTCACAAGGAATCTCAACACAGCCAAAAATAAAAATAAAAAAAACATATACATGGTTTTCTTAGCAACGAAACCCTAGTGCGATCTATTTCGATCCCAACGCCATCTATGGAAGCGTCAAGTAAAGTTTACACATACAAAATATTAAACACCAATGAAATTGTTATTTGCAATTTTGAGTGCTAACTAAGCACGTGCTTGGTCGAGAAGGGATACATCACTAAGAGGAATTAGATATTATTTCGAGGAGATGATGTGAAGTCCACCAACACGCACTGTAAGAGCGCGGCGGACTAATTGCTGTAAAATACTTTCAGAAGTGTGAATTTGATGGTGACGCATAGAGGCTGTCTCTTCTTTACTTCTATCCGTCTCGTGTAAATGATTAATATTAAAAATATAAATATGCGAAACACAAAATATATAATATAAAAAAAAAACAGAAACTAATTAATAACTAATAGAAAAGACATTATATAATATCAACTAAACACAATCGCAATCGACTAGGAAAATGTCATTGTACTAGTGCGATACTGGATGTTTTCACAATTAGCCAAGGTATCATTAGAGAATGCCATATAGAATTAAGCTCCTCCTAGTTCGCCTTTTGTACAAATATTAGGTGCAATAAAAAAAAATGTCAAAAATTAAGATATCTATCGTAACATGACCACGTTTATTAAATCTACAAATGAGCGTTAATTTGCAAAATTTTTGTTGCCCGTCAAGAAAAATTTATCGCAAGAAAATTTTCGCTCCTTGATTTATTAATAATTTCGTTGTGGACTACAAATTTATGAATGATTTGATTAGCAAATAATTATGAAACGCTGTCCCGTGCCACTGTTTACAAGCAGTTCAATGAGTTTTTGCATGTCGCAGCAATTCACTGATGATGAGAGAGTAGATTTTCAAAACATGGATACCCCATAATTTGACTAATGGTAAGAATATACGGAAAGCACCAAGAAAATGTTCGTTCAAGATATTAATTCATGAACACCTTTTGAAAAAAGATATTGTTTCATGATAAAAAATGATTCAATATAAGATTCGATATATTATATTTATACACAAATGAGTGACGTGCAGCAGCATCTTCCCGATAACAACTCAAAATAATAAAAACCTGCGATTGTCAACTCCAAGCGTGGCAACTACAGAAAAATACTCCCTATGGAGGAGGTAGGAAAGAGAATATAGGCCGTTCAGCAGTGGACTTTTATAGGCTCTAATGGATGGATGGATAATATTTTTTTATAGAAGAGGGGGCAAACGAGCGTGCGGCTCACCTGCTGGTAAGTGAATACCGCCGCCCATGATCAACCGCAACACCAGGGGAATTGCAGATGCGTTGCCGGCCTTTGAAAAGGAGTAGGCTCTTTTCTTGAAGGTCCCTAAGTCGTATCAGTCCGGAAAAATCGCTGGTGGTAAACAATTCCACAAAGAAGTTGTATGAGGGAGAAAACTTCTTCTAAGTCACACAATGGTGGACCGCCAATTGTCCAGATGGTATGGATGGTAACGCGAGTTTTGTCGCGATGTGCGATGGTGAAATTGAGCGGCTGGAATTAGTCCAAACAATTCCTCAGAGATCATCTCTTATCGCGTCTATCACGGGGAGTGATAGATGCGATAAAATACGGAAAGAGATGCAACATCTCTACGCAGTGCCAGTGTATCGAGCCGATCAGAAAGAACTCGGTCGTCGACGATTCGAACCGCTCTGCGCTGGATGCGGTCAAGTGGAAGGAGCTGGTACTGTGGTGCCCCGGTCCAGAGATGAGAACAGTATTCCATGTGAGGCCGAACTTGCGCTTTGTAAAGTTGCAAGCGATGTGCCGGCATGAAATACTGTCTCGCTCTGCTGAGCACGCCAAGCTTTTTAGAGGCCAATTTGGCCTTCTCTTCCAAGTGACCACGAAACTGCACACTATTCGATATGTCGACGCCAAGGATTCCGATGCTAGCTGAGGCAGCAAGGGGAGTGCCTTGAAACTGAGGAGATACGACAAAGGCGTTCTTTTTAGCGGTAAACGCGCAAACTTGTGTCTTCTGGGGATTGAACTGGACTAGATTTAGTCGCCCCCAATCCGAGACTTTGTTCAGCAAAGACTCGACTTCATACACAAGTTTGTCCTGGTACTCGGCGACGTTTTCCCGAGAAATATTGGCGTGGCCGGTATATAAGGCATCACCAGTGCTGTCGTCTGCATAGCAATGAATGCTACCAGTTACCATATCATTGATATGCAGGAGAAACAGCGTTGGTGATAGCACGCAGCCTTGTGGAAAACCAGCGTTGATAGGCTTGAAATCAGAGCATGCACGTCTACTACGACCTTGATGCTCCAATCAGCAAGGAAACTGGTGATCTATTTGCACAATTTCTCGGGAAGCCTATAGGAAGGAAGCTTCAAAAGAAGCGCTTTGTGCCAGACCAGACCGAAGGCCTTCGCTATGTCCAAACTAACGGCCAATACCTCCCCCTTGCACTTTACTGCCTCCGCCCATCTATGAGTCAGATAGACCAGAAGATCACCAGCTGATCGTTACCCCGACGAAAACCGTACTGGCGGTCATTAATCAGCTGGTGATACTCAAGGTACCTCATGAGCTGGCAGTTTATAATGGATTCCATTATTTTGGAGAACAAAGAGGTGATGGCGATAGGCCTGTAGTTGGACGGGTCTGAGCGGTCGGCTTTTTTAGGGATCGGGTGGACAAAAGCTTCTTCTTTTCTTCTTCTTCCATGAATTCGGAACAACGCCTTACGAGTAGGAGTTTCTATGTGGTAGAGCCATGCTGCAGCTATATTTCTGGTATAGTTGTAACACGAATGGGTCGGCTCGACCGGGAAAGGACCACACTCTCACAGAAAACCAGCGTAAAATAGCAGCTGCTGTGTTTCGTATGGTGAGTGTAGAGAACCGACGACCCATTTTACTGGCAAAGAGGCATTCCATCTTAGTCCTCACGGGTGACAACGCATCTGCATCTTGAGTCTTTATTGAGGATATGTCTATGAGTCACAGTAACCACTTACCATCAGGTGGACTGTGTGCTCGTTTGTCACCGATCCTATAAAAAAAGGAGTACCGGAAAAGATGCGGTAGGACCGGTGCCAACTCCGGAGCACACGTCTTCAGCACAATTGGGGGGATTCCTTCAGGCCTACTCGACTTCTGGATGTCTAGGGAGAGGAGTGCTTTGCGAACCAAGCGCTGTGAGAACAGCACATCCGGCATGGAGCACTCACACTGCGGGATGGTCGGCGGTGTTTTCCCCCGTCATCTAGAGTCGATTTGGACGCAAAAAGGGAGCCTGAAAGGTCGACTTTGTCTTTTGCGGCTTGGGCCAGTGAGTTGTCCTCCCTGTGCAGAGATGGTAGTGATGGCTTACAGAAATTCCCTTGGACAGCCTTGGCGAGAGACCAGCCAATTCTGCCGATGTGCTCAGACTTTGCCTTGGCAATGACACTTTTGAAGGACCTGGAGGCGGAATTATACTTCTTTTTAAGTGCGCTGGTGTTAACATCCCGAGACGTTGATGCGTCAGCCCAGGCCTGGTAGCACTCCTGCTTATAACGTGATGCTTTTCTACAGGAGTGTACCAAACCATGGCTGGGATCAGCCTTCGATGGGCACCACAGATGATGGAATAAAAAGTTCCATACCCTGAATTACCACATCAGCAACAGAATCGGCAACAACGCTGGGATCTTCCGGCGAGAAGCAAACCCGCCCCCAAGGGTAGAATGCATAAAAAGACCGCATCCCGTCCCAATCGGCTGAACTATAGTGCCAAACACGGCGACAAGCTGCAGATCACAATTGCGATTGTAGCGTGAGTGGCACCGTACTCCGAATCAGACAATGGTCCGAAGAGCCCAGAGGGGCATCGACGGAGACCTGATATCCGTCCGAATGAGAGGTCAGCAGAAGATCCAACAGGG